CGTTCACTTACATATTTCCCAGGGTTGCTTTTGCTCTACAACAACAGAGTAATTGAATAGTTGCCACAGAAGCCATATGTCCTACGAAGCCTAAAATATTTGTCATATGGTCCTTTACAGAAAAATGTTCCCGACCTTTGAACTAGAACACTGATGATCACCATGCAGACAGTGGAAGAAAGAATGGGAAAGCATGCACTGACCAGGCTTCCAGCTGCAAGTGGCACACAGACTTCTGCTCATGTCCATTGTCTAAAGCAAGTCACATAGTTACAATGGATTTCAGCGGAGGTGAAGACATGCGATCCTACCCTGTTTGTGCCCAGGAGAAGAAGCAAAAACAATTTGATGACCAGCACTGGTAATTATGACAATTAAGAAAAATAAATTAGAATATAATTAATTACATGATAAATACCTTAATAGATCCTCTATCTTACAAAATAATCTACTGGTTGACGCAAAAAAAGATGGCAAGTAACAAGAGCTTCTGGCTGCTTCTCCTGAAACCAAACTCTGAAGATGCCACAGAAATGAGCTGAAGGTTGAGGAATCTCAGAACTTTGCACCAAAAGTATGGGAGCTCTTAGGGATAGAGATCAGAGCCTGTTGTAACTGGGAAAGGGGGGCTGAGGGTGACAGCAGTCAAATGCAGAAGCCTGAGATGCAGTAACAGGGGAAAGTAGCAAAGAGCTTTCTAATGGGGCCCATTTCTTTCCATAACATCACCCTAAAATGGCCATCACTCATCCCTTTGCCAGAGTGAAACAGATCAGCCCAGAACCAGGGGATAGAGAACAACCTCAGGAGAGCACAGGACCTTAGCTGGAATGACAATGAAATCCTACAAGCAACAGGCAGGGCGGACCCCATCTTGAGCATTCCCTTCCCTCATTTCTTTACTCTTTTCCTATCCTTCTGCCCTCATATGCCATAATTTATAAATACAATTGAGAACACAGGGAAAGGGCGCTGCAATGGAACATGTGGTGGGAGATGGTGAGGAAGAGAGGACCACATGAATGAGAGTGGCCCAGCCTCTGAGCATCACCCATTCCCCCTCCTGAAAGAGTATAATCTGGGCCTTTTAAAATTAGACAAAAGAAAAAGAAATAAACACAAACAACTACAAATACAACAGAGGTTGGAAAATATTATAAACAAATTTAGGCTGATAAATACGAAAACTAGACAAAATTAGTAAATTTAATTTAATACTAAAATACAAATTAAAAATTTAAATAAATTAATATCCATTAAATAAGTTGAAATATTAATTAAAACCTCCTCAAGACCACCAAAAAAGCCCCATGTGCAAATTATTTCACATGTATATGCTCCCAAAATGTTTTTTTTAAGAAGTAAACCTTCCTTTTTACATATGATTCCAAAGAATTTAAAAAACTAACTCATTTTTTATTCTAAATTCAAATAAGAAAAGAATACCAAACATAATGATTTAAGCCTTGACTTGTTTTGCTTGGTGATTGGATAATCAGCCTGCGGACTGAAAGGTCAAAGGTTCAATTCGAGTCAAAGTCATGTATCTCAGTCAAAGTCACATACTTTGATTGAAGGCTCCATCTCTGGCCAGTCAGGGTGCATGTGGGAAGCAACCATCTCTCAAATAGATGTTTCTCTCTGCCTCGACCTCTCCCTTCCACTTTCTCTAAAAAATCAATGGAAAAAAATATCTTCAGATGAGGATTAACAAAATTAATGATAATAATAATAATGACCTAACTAGATCCAAAAAAAAGCATTTGATAAATTTAACACATATATGCAGGAAAAACTAAGAACACTACAAGTAGAAATTCATTAATTTGATAAAAGCTATCTGTAAAAATAACTGAAACAAATATTACAATTAATAGTAAAAATGTAAATACATTTTTTAGGGCTCAGAACAAGACAAAGAATAATGCTATCACTGCTACTATTCAATATATTACTGAAGATCCTACCAACCAAATAAGAGAAAAAAATAGAAGTAAAATGAGAAAATAAGAAATAGATTAGAATGGATTAAAAAGCAACAACTAAATGCTTCCCAGAAAAGACCACTTTAAATATAAATACACAAACAGGCTTAAAGTAATTGGATGCAAAAAAATGATATATTATAAAAATAACAAGCATAAGAAGGCTAGAGGGACATATTAATATCTGTCCAAATAGACTTCAAGACAAAGACCATTGCCAGAGATAGAGACATTTCATAACAATTTAAAGCTCAATAATCAGGAATACATGATAATCATAGATGTCTATGTGCCTAATCATAGAGCTTCCAAAATTGTGACACAAAAGTTGACAACATTAAGTAGAAATATAAACAAATCACCATTGGATATTTTAACAACTGATACAACAAGACAAACTCAGTACAAACGTAGAAGAATTAAACAACAGTATTAACCTGCTTGACCTAAAGATATTTATATAGTACTACACCTAAGAGCAGAAAACACATTCTTTGCAAGTGCACGTGGAACAATGACCAAAATAGAGCATATTCTGGACTCTAAAACAAAAGTCTAAATACATTTAAAGAATTTAAATATGGTCAGAGTTTGTTCTCTGACCATATTGTGACCATAATGGATATAATTTATATATAATTTATATAATGGAATAATAATAATAAAAAATATTTAAAATACCCTAAATGTTTACAACTTAGACAACATACTTCTACATAACTTATGTGTTAATGAAGGACTCACAGAGAAAATTAAAAAATATTTCAAGCATAATAACAATAAGAATACATTTCAAATTTTGTGGGATTTCCAAAGAAAATTCAACATGTCAAAATTTGTGCTTAGAGGAAAATTTATACTTTTAAGTATTTTACATTAAAAAGGAAGAATGATATAAAATTATCTAGGAAATTAGAAAAACAAGAATAAAAAAAAGTAAACAACAAAAATAATGAAGAGAAGAAATCAATGAAATAAAAAACAAATAATAGAGAAAATTCAAGAAGCCAAATGGCTGATTCTTTGAAAAGACCAACAAAATTGATAAACCCATAATTAGACTCCTCAGAAAATACAAAGAAAAAGAACATACGTTATAAATATTAGGAAAGGGGAATATTGCTACAAAATCTATAGACATTAAAAAAATAATAACAAATACCATAAGTAATTTTATGTCGTTCATTAAACAACTTAAATAAAATGGACAAATACCTTTAAAAAATACATCTTACTAAACGAACATGGATGAAACAATAATTGTGACTAGCTCTGTATCTACTGAGGGAATTAAATTCACTTTCAATAAACATTCCCACAAAGAAAGTTGCAAGCCCAAATGATTTCACTAATGAAGTCTACCAAATATATACAGGGAAACTTTTTTTAGAATCTCATAGCACATCCTCACTTTCACTTTGTAACCAAAAATAGTAGCGGGTACCTCAGTTAGAGATTGAACACCTGCTTCCCTTCCCCATCCAAACTTCCCACTGAGTCTGGAAAGAGTGCTTCTTGCATTTACATCCTGCACACCCACACTTAGAAAGTGTGCCTGATGCAGGCCACCAATGGAAGGACTGGCCATTGAAGTCCCTTATTGGCACTGTCTTCAAAGGAAACTTCTAAGGGATCATATCTGCTTTTAAAATGAATATAAATTATGTTTTAATCTACTATTTCCAATAGTTTTTATGGGAAGAGGTACTGTCTTCACAATGTACTGTCTTCACAGTTAGCACTGGCTATATAATTTCTTATACACACCAATATCTGGAGAACAATATACACACATCCTTTTTCTTCACCCACAAGGAAATTATGTTTTGAAATTCGTACAAGCTTCCATCCTTTCTAATAAAGAGTGAATATGCTAATTGACCATCACGTCATCACAAAGATGGTGGCACCCACAGCCAATAAGGAGGGAATATGCTAATTGACTGTCATGTCCTCAAAGATGGCAGTGCCCACAGCCACAAGATGGTGGCACCCAGAACCCTCAGCCCCACGGGGGTGGCAGGCATGCGGCAAGGCCAGGCCTGCCCCCAGGTGGGGCCAACGACTCCACATGCCTGCCTCCGGAGTCCCCCAGTCTCCTCAGACCCCAGCCACCCAGGGCCAGCCTGAGGTGCAGGAAAGTCTTAGATAGGAGCTGCCTGGCCACCCAGGCCCACCTTAAGGCTCAGGTAACCAGGGCTGGCTGAGGCTTGTGCTGCCAGCAGTGGCAGCAGCAGAGATGTGATGGGGGCATCATCTTCCCCTGATTGCCAGGTCATCTCCTGCCCCTGAGGGGTCCTGGACTGTGAAAGGTGTTAGGCCAGGCTGAGGGACACCCCCCTCTAGTGCATGAATTTTCATGCACCAGGCCTCTAGTTTATATACATATGCAAAATGATTCTTGCATCACATGGCATTGTGAAGATGAAAAAGTGAATGTTAAATCATTCATAACATATTATATAAATTCAGGTAATGAAATTTTCATTGTACCAATAACTCAGTCTCCTAGTCAGATGTCCTGATTTTCTTAATTAGGTCTCATTGATTAAAAGTACCGTATTTTTCGGACCATAAGACGCTCCGGACCATAAGAAGCACCAGTTTTTAGAGAAGGGAAATGAAGAAAAAAAGATTCTGAAACAAATAGTGTCCTAAAATATTTTATGTGCATTAAAACCCAACATCACAGTCATAAACACATGTAATCAACCCTGTAAAGTAAACAGCAGCATTTAGAACCATTTTAGAGCCGGGCAAGCACACAGAGAACACACAGAGCCGGGCAAGTAAAAAAACTTTTTTTTTTTAAGTATATGTGTAGGCTATATTTGGACCATAAGACACAGGGACTTTTTCCCCCCACTTCTGGGGGAAAAAAAGTGCGTCTTATGGTCCGAAAAATACGGTAATACAAATCATATAAAACTAGCTTTAAAAAAAACACAGAGCAATGTTGTTGTTGTTTTTATTGTTTTGTTTTTTTGTTTGTTTTGTTTTGTTTCCCCCCCGCTGGCATGTCAGGCTACAAACCATTCCCAGCGCCCACTGCTTGGGGCGCTGAGCATAGAAATAGCCCCTTCCTCTGCTCCCTGGCCTCCGTCACAGGTGCAGCATGGCAGCCGGGCTGTGGTGCCGGCAGGTCCTGCACCCGCAGGGCACAGAGCAATGTTTTATAAGAATGCCATGGTGCATGGGATATAAAGAACAGCATAGGGAATATAGTTAATATTGTAATATTGAATTAATTATGTCTAGTGTCAGACAGGCATTAGACTTATGAAGGTGATCATTTCATAAGGTAAATAATTGTATAGACACTATGTTGTGCCTTTGAGGCTAACATAATATTGTATATCAATTGTTATTTAAAAATAAACATAAAAAAAGAAAGAACATGATATCTTAAAACAACAATAACAACAAAAACTAGAGCAGGAAAGCAGCAGAGCCCTGTGAGGGACTAAACCAGAAATTGAAGGTCCCTGAGGCTCTTTCTACCTGTCTCTTATTTATTTTTATTTTTTTTAGTTCTGTCTACCTTATTCTTCTCCAATACTAACCTAGACCCAGGCAAAAGGGACCTCTGCCCTTGGCTTAGAGTTTTAGAGGTTTCTATTCTTGCCCTTCCTTGGCTGTGCCCACTCCCATGAGGCAGTCAATGAGTTTAAAGGGATATGATCCCATGTGTGCACAGCCTCCCCCAGTATGTCTGGGGGCAGGGAGTACATGGGAACTCTCTGAACTATCTGCTCAATATTGCTATAAACAAAACACTCTCTAACAAATAAAGTCCATTTTATAAAAGAAGCTGTGCTCTTCCCGATTCCACATAGTCCCTTCTAGAACATGGACTGAGTATTCGAGGCCCCAGAATTGTCCTCCTCTCCCCCTACATCCTCCCCCCACCAAGGGCCTGAGTTTATATCTGCAACCTGCACCAGACTCTTTCTGGGCCTGTCTTCCTGAGGACAGACTGGTCTGCAGATATGGCCCTCTAGCCCCAAGGCAGGGTGCAGGTGGATGGTGCTTGAATGAGCTCCCGGGGTGTCCCTGTGCATGTAATGAGTGGCCCTTTGTGACACTGATAAAAGAGGAGAGTCTGCAGACCATCTTTCTCCTGCAAGTCAGTTTCCATTGTGGAATTCTGAAGAGCCTCAGAATTTTAAATTGTTAAACCTCACCTCCCAGATTGTTATGAATTAATTATATTTGCCCAGATAGAAAGATAGAAGATATATTGTGTAATAGTTTGTTTTCTTAATTTGTGCCTTTTCAATATTTAAACGCATGATATGGGGGTTACCATCTGTACTCTTGCTTCTGGTCCCATTAATATTGGGGGTAATTCAATTCTTTCCCAAAGGTAGGTTGTATCCCCAGCTCCAGCCTTTCAGCTCTAATTCTGAAGGAGTCTGGGAGAGAGTCTGATTGGCTCAGCTTAGGTTGGGGAGGGAGGGAGGGCTGCAACCCCTGGTCTAAACATTTGACTACTTTTGAAATGGGCCTTTTCATGGAAATAAGTCTGTTAGGGGAGGGAGATGTTCTTGCAGTAGACTGGGAAGTTCCCAGAGAAATTTGGCTAGGGAGATTCCCCCTTGAGTACCTAACTTCATAGCTAAAACCAATGCAAATTGTATTCCTCTTATTTCAATAGGGCCAAGTAGTGAAAAATCAATATATTCCTATTAGAAAACAGATTATACCATACTTTTAAAAGTCTTTTTTCGTGCTCGAAGGACTGTAAAAGTCTTTTTTCGCAGTTGGCTCTAATGGAAGCAATTAATATGATCTATATTATAGGACATTTCTGTTAAAGACACATTAAAGTTTTATTGAAATGATATTCAATCCTCATCCTTGTGTGTTTTTAAAAAGTGATCAGTATGCTAATACAAGTCTAATACTTCTTTCCTTATTAGAAAATCAAGCTAACATGTTTTTAAAAACATTCCATTGACTTATTCTTCTCTATCTCCTTTGTTATTAAAAAAAAAAAATGTGGCAAATCTAATAAGGTACACCATGTTTCATTAAAAAACACTTGCCAAGCCTTCTAGCTGTAACAGAATGAATACAGTTCATAACTGGGATCTCTAACAGTCCTATTTGAAAAAAATACAAAGGACTGGAAACTAGTATTTGCTTTGGATACAAGAAAAGCATGTAGAATAACAGCGTTTCAGCAAGATCATCTCCACGGGACAGTATGAAATATGGAAGAAACGAGAAAGTATACTTTCTAACCTTTTCTGAAGGAAAAGGAAAAACTCATCAAAAGGAGAAAATAACACAGGCATACATTGTTACTGTTTCCATATGTGCTTCTTCACCTCAAATAACCTAATGTTACTGTTTACACTTAAACTGAAAGGTCCATCCATTCTGCCCAAGTCTGAAGCTTAACCTCTTATGCAGACAAAACGTGTGCTGATTTCATTTGGCTCCCATAGACAATGCGCAGCCATCCAGAAGTCATCAGCAATTCTAAACAAAGAATTATTTGCTCTGGAGCAATGGAGGGTCCTTAATTCTATATAGGAGGGGCTTGTGGGCAGTAATCCAGTTACAATGGGGAATGAAAGGGGTGTTCAAACATTTTAGCCTGAGTATACATTTAAAGACCATTAAATACTGTGAAGCCCCTACAAAATGTTTAAATCTAAATATATAATTTTCCTCCCACATAAGTTTATATACTAAAAAGAAGAAAATCCAATATATTGCATATTTTGACATTTTAAAAGCAAAATGGTTATAACACTTTTTCAATGTGTCAGAAAGAATATAGTGATTTGATATCACATCACTCATTTTAGAAACATATAAACAAGTTCTTTAACAGTTCCTTTTGCTCCCTGAATTCTTATTTCCTTTTCACATCTTTCACAAAAATTGTATGATGTAATATATTTGGTGTTTTCTACATCATTTCAATCATTTCTATAATGTTTCTTTGCAATAGAACTATGTATAGAAGTTGAAATTAAATGGAGTTCTTTTCCTGTAACCACAATGATCTAAGTGTTTCATTAAAAACCTTCTGGCCATCATTGGCATTAATGATCAATAATTGCCATCCTCATAAACTATCACACATTTGCAGTATGCTGGGATTGGAGATGGGGGAGAGGCAGTAGGCCTTTTTTAATCAAGTGGGAGGAAAACAATTGTGAAAGAAAAGGTAGCAAAGAAGTACATGACTCTTGAGCAGGGAGAAATTCTCAGGTAGAAGAATTTTTAGAAAGAATAAACACAGAAGTTTAATATCTATAAATTGACTCTCATAAAGTCATATGTGTCCAAGACCCAAGGGGAAATCTTGTAACCCAGGCATTGCAGACGGTTTGAAGATTTTTAAGCTAGATGAACTTACATAAGACTATGTTTAAATAGTAAATTTAAAATAAAATAAAAAAAAACATTATTTTACATAGATTGTTTTTGCCAGTCAGTAAACTATTAAAGTTTTATAATGATGCTTCTTATTGAACATGGAAGAAAATCAACTTGGAAATGTATTTTTATTTTTATTTGGACTCACTTGGGAAGCATTGAGTAGAGATTGATGAGGAACTAAAACCAGCTTCTTGCCACTCCTGCTCATATCTTGTTCTCATATCACATCAAACCCTTTATCATTGCTACCATTTGGTCTACAAAAGCAGTTGGTTTTTTCAATCCTTCCTAAATGCTCAGAGCTTAGTCAATTTAAGAGTTCTGACCTCAGTGGAGGGGTCTTATGTTAGGAAAGTTAGACTCCTTTCCATCTGTGCTTGCAATGGACTCGCTCCAGTATGAATCTCTATCTTTAAAACTTGGCTGAAAGAAATACAGGAGCAGCCGATATAGTCCAACATCCAGAATTATTCTTTATCTTTTCCTGTAGAGCTATGGTCTTCATAAGCATTTGGTCCAAGTTATTACAGATGACAGTTCTCCAAATAGTTTTCTTCCATTCAATAACAGCGCCCACCTTCCAGACAGCAAAAACTCTGCTCTTGGACTCACCACCTGACCACTCAGCCAATTCCCACTTTCAGGTATCTATTCCATATTTTCTTCAGACAAAGGTTCAGATTTTATAATAAATCTCAGAATAACAGTGGTTTAAAGGAATGTTTATTTCCATGTAACAATCCAAGTTTAATCAGAACTGGGTTGATATGGCAGCTTCATGGTATTAGAATCCCAGGGCTCATGTTATCTTGTTGCTCTGGTGTCCTAAATAGTTTCCTTCATCAGAGAAGTCTCAAAATCACATCCACATCTCAGATGGCAGAAGAAGAAGAGAGAAGCATGGAAAAGATATGCTTCTCTCTCTTAAGGGCATGACTCAGAAGTTGCACACGTTACCTGTGCTCCTATCCATTCATCATATAGTTTACACCTGATGGCAAGGGAGGCTGAGAAATGTAATCAGTCAGTGGGTGGCCACATGCCCCAAGCAAAAAATTCAACCACATGGGAAAAGAGAGGGGACTGGATATTGGGGGGAAACTAGTAGACTCTGCTACAATGTCTATTAGAAAAGCTGAGTACATTATCTATTCAATGTCAAAAGCAACCTTTGGACTACTGCTATGAATTAAATACAATAGATAATAAATAAATAAATAAATAAATAAATAAATAAATAAATAAATAAATAAAATAGCAATTGCTGCTACTTGATCAGCTCATGTGATATTATCTGTTCAATTATTGTTTCCACACTTGACTGGGTGAACATTATCCCTCAAATAAGAATTCAAATTATGTGGTATGGCTTTATATCAAATCAAAAGAACTGCTGAGAGCAAATAGATAAATATTTTCTCAAAAGAACCATGACTTATTTAAAACAACTGAAAAAATTTCACATTTCCCTCACATAGGCTTTTCTTTTCATTAAAATGTTATATCCTGAAAGCAATTGTTTTTCTTTCCCTTCCTCATTCCTTTTCTCTTCCCTCTATCTTCTCCTTCCTTAATTAATATTTAACAAGTGGGTATAAAGTACCTATTTAGGCCAGGAATTTTTACATGTATATTATCTGACATAAGCCATACAACAATCATATGAGGCATGTGCCATCTTTAATTTATAAATGAGAACATTGAGAATGAGAGAAATTTATTGACTAGCTTAAGGGAATATCACTAAGTTTCACA